ACCAAATGGGATCAGAAGTAACACGGATACTACAAAGTTCCAAACCATTGCCAGACAGGACTGTAGTGCAGGAATATTAAAAGTGAAGGAAGGTTAAACTGCCCTTTATCACACTGTGTAAATTATGAGCGAACAGGAGGCTGAGCTTGTGACTGCACTGTCAGAAGAAATGCATTATATTTCCTTAGTGAGATAAAAGCTCTTGTCTGCTCACACAACTCTAGAGATCTTTCAAACAGTCATTTGAAAGCTTGCTGATCAGTCAGAGAGTAGTTCTCAGAATATTTATTAATCCAGCTCTGACCTGACATTAAAAGCAGGTGCTTGTTCTTATTACAAGAGCATTGCATCATTACCCGTTTATAACTTGCTACATATGTTTTGATTTGCATGTGGAGAAGTTAAAATTCAGATGCAACAAAATTCTGCAGTGAAAATGTTAGTAGAATAAAAGTTTTTCTGCCATATAAAATCAGTAGTTTTGTATGACCTGCTTTGGATATTTTAACATGCATAATGTTTTGTAAACCCATCACATCTTGTTTGTAAAGTTTAAGTTACATTAACAAGATGTAAAATAAATCTAGTAAAAACTATTGTATTTTCCTCCGATTTATTGTAAAATAATAGAATGAAGGGTGACTCAAGTGAAGTTCCTCAAATTTGTACTTGAGTACAACAACTGAGTAAACATACTCAGACATGAGGGAAAGTAGCACAGTAGCAGTTGTGAGCAATAGTAGCCTTAAGAAAATAGACCTCTGAATTCATCTAGCACATGCCTATCCTTGCAGGGTTCCCTGCAAACTAAGCAAACTTTACTCAACCTATGGGAGGATATAGCACAAAAGCCATGGCAGACGTAGGTCCAAGTGTGTGGAGCCAGCTCTGACAACACTATCACAGCATGCCTTCGCTTCAACAAGCTCACAAAAGTCAGTGTAGCCAAACATAGGCACAGGCTGTCTGAGGGACATCAGTAAATCAGGAGGAGACCCCCAGGGCCTGGCGAGAAAGGTGATGTGGCTTAACTTACTGGCATTATGTGGATCCTCAGCCTGCCACTAAACTACACCCCTCACGTGAACTGACTGTGTCGTGTTGTTGCTTTGCAGCTGGATACTGTGAGTCTGATTATAGTGCTTTCATTTTTTTTTATCAGTGACTTGTAAACTTTCCATAATTTAATATATTAATAGTACTACCGTAGCTTTTAAGGAGAACCCACTCCTGCCTGCACTGGTTATTTTGCGCCTAAAGGGCCTCCGCATTCCTGGCTCAGCTGGACATTCAACAGGCCACCACCTGCAGCCTGTCAACAAACTACACAGGGTTAACACCCCCAACCCCTCAATGTGAAACCATTTACTGTGACTGTGACTGGAAGGTGCTGTAAAAATAAAGTACTTATGGGAAACAGCAGAGGCAAAAAAGGAGTAATTGAAAATATAAACTAGAAAAATTAGGATACAACATTAATATTAAGATATTCTGTGACACACGAAGCAAAAAACAGAGAAGGGGTTTTACTACAAACACAAAGTGACAAGGATAGACAGATGTTGAGGAGACAAACGATAGCCATTTAAAGCTCAAAACTAAAGGCTGATGTCTTTGACTGACATTTGCCCATAGCTGTGTGTGCTAAGTGTGGGGGAAGGAGAGTGTTTGTCTCAGCTGTCACTTCTGAGCCTGTGGTGGGAAAATATGACAAAATGCCCACACTCTGCTTCTCAGTCACATCCAGCACCTTGAGACACTGGAACATCTTTTGTTTTTCTCCATTTCTTTGTCTCTTTACTATTGTCTCATTCAGAATAGTATTCATCAGCGTGTGGCCATTAGCAGTTTTAGTGTTTTCCAAACTCTGAGTTACTGATAAAAAAGCATCATTAATTCTTTCTGACAGTTGATTGTAGGGATCCACTTTGATGTGTGATTCAAGAAACCATCCTTCAGCAAGAAGGAGCTTGCTCACTCATTAGGTGCAAATGTAATTTCCATATTTGCATAACAAAGACAAGACAGCTTGATATTAGGAGAGATGAGGTCTTATCTGCAGCTCCTCTCGGGTTGTTACTGATTTTCACTGCAGTGCTGTTGCCTAGTAGCCAGTGACGCCCTCTTCCTTTCCAATCGACATGACATGGCGCCAGAGGAGCTCACCCAGAATAACTGGACAGGCCTCTATAGGCAACTGCTCACTAATGTAATATGTAAAAGCTGAGTGGCTGTCTCTTTTATACATATCATGGCAGAGTGCTAATGTGAAAGATATCAGGAGAAACAGAGACATTCTTCATGGATGCTTGGATGAGTCTGTGCCTTTATTACATAACAGTGTACAGTATATTTACAATTCATTTAGTCAAGAGAAACACTTCAGACCTTACAAATGCCAAAATGTTCTGGATGAGAGCATATTGGTGTTTGTGTCATGAAAAAAATAAAAAGTAGTGGATGACAGAGTCTGAAGGAGCACTTGGAGATATCTGGTTCAAAGTGAAACCTGGCTGTCAGGAAACGCTTCAAGTGTTCATGCTCCAGGTGTGATCACTCTTCATTTGCTTGAGCTGCATTAAGTCAGTCATCCGGGTCTCCACTATTGCAACCCTTTGACCTTTCAGCTGCAGTGTTTCTCTAATTCCACCTATCATTGCCTCATAAGCTCTGTCAAACTTTTTATCTGATCTCATGAACCATTTTTCTAGAGGTAATGTTCCCACAGCCACAAAAAGCACGCAGTGCACTTAAGAGGATAGACCAGCTTAAAAAAAAGAAGGAAACAGTGGCTGAAACTTTTATTTTTATTTTGCACCTGAATTAAGAACATCAGAACACAGTCTCTCCTCTGAATATTAGAGATGACAGGTTCAGACCATGGCAATCAAAATAACAGTCATGTTGAAGATTGTTTTATGTATGTATTGAATTATCTTCAACTATGTGCTTTGGTGTTTTATTCAGCTACAGAGGAGCATTTCGTGAGGCTGGCATATTTTCCCATATTCAGGTCAAGGATAAGTGGTGAATACTGTACGTCCTTGCTTTAATATATACTTATATATGGTCTTTTTTTATTGTAATGTTGTAGCTTAGTGAACTAACATGACAGGCACATATAGCATTACTTAAGACTTTGTGTAGTCTGGGTTTACTGTTGACATTTTCCCATTTAACCATCAGTTGACTGAACACTTTGTTCTTCTTTCATAGTGTCCAAATGCCATCCCAAAGCTAAAAAGTCACAAAGTCATCTTGGATCAAAGGCAGCTTTGCCTATGTGGCTTTTTGAGTCTTTTGATGCCAGAAAAAGATTCACGTGCAGAAGCAAGTGAGACAGCAGGGCTTGATGCAAAATATCAGAACAAAGTGCTCGCCAAGAATCATCATCACCAACCTGCTGAGAGCCATCAGAGGAGCAGAAAATAGGAGGAAGGAAGAGAGGGCTTGGCGTTACTGTTGGCTGTCATGTTTCAAAATCTTTCTACTCTGACTGATTTTGATTGAACTTTCAAAGTCAGGTTAGGTCTGGGTTTGGACTCCACATGTATGAAAAATGAATATTTTCTGAATTTAATCATATTATCTTGTAATAGTGGGCTTCTACAGGAAGGAAGTTGTGAATTTCTAATGAGCAGTAAGTAATGCTCAGGCTGGTCTTAGCTTCCCAGGATGCCATGTGAGCCGTGCACTTAGGTGTCAAGGTCAAGCAGCAAATGATCATTTCGTGTGTGTGGTCAGATGAAAGAACCTGACCCCACAGCAGGACAAGTTTCTGTTGTTGGTGCCATGAGCAGTGCACATATGTGCTACTATTACCTGTGGTGGATGGAACTTTTTAGTATATTTCAGCTCCTTGTTTTAGTTTTAGTATTTATTACCCTTTATCTAAATGACACTTTGATAACCAGGATCTTGAGGAATCTGACTGCCACTGCTCAACCAAGGGTGTCAGCAACGTGGCTTATTTCCAAAATCCCTTAAAAATAACAATAAGAAAAACTACCCAACAGCCAAAAATCAAAATATCTGGTCATGGAAAATGCATCAAAATCCGCCTTCCAGGTAGAGCAGTGAGATGACTGACAGTGTCTGTATATCTTCGGTCTGCTGTGCCAGCACTGGTGATGGTGAACATTGTCGACAGATGGTGTTTCCCTCAGTCATGAGAGTGTCCCCTCAGTTGGCATGATTGACTTTTGACTTGTTACATCACACAGTATGTTGTTCTCTGAGATGATGCCAGCTCAGCCGGGGACCAAGACTAAATAAGGCAGAGGAAACAAAGGTGCATAGCGTAACCCAGCGTAACAGCACAGGCTGAGTTGGAGTTTCATTTCCAGCCTTGGACCTTAGTGCACGACACTGCCCAGGGGTGACCTCCATTACTGCAAATCTTGCCATATTGGCTGTTGTGCCAGCTACAGAGTCACTCCTCCACTGGGGGATGGAATGAAACGGCAATGCAATGTCAAGTAGTCAGAAGCTGTAGAGAGTGTTGGCCCAACTGTCAGAGCATGGCAAGATGAGCAAGTCTGAAGTGAGGATAAACTTCAGCGGTTAGTGTAGAGGAAATGACATAGTGTGTCCTTAAGCTCTGGTCATTACATGGCCTCTTTAGATGTGTGTGGTGCCCTAATGGTAGAGGAGGTGGCGTTACATCTCATTAGCACTGATAATGGTGAATAATGAAAATAACTCTATCATTACAACTCTCTTCATCTTCAGCAAGAACAGCTACATTCATCCACTCTCTTGAGATGAAACTGTGTAGTGTTTCTCTCCTGACCGCACTGCATCTCAAAAGTATTTAGCAATAACAGAGATATAATTTCACAAGGTGAAGAAATAACTTATGATAGATGACCCAGCTGTCAATACAAACTTTTGATCCTTTGACAGATTGAAGTCTCTTTAACTGGCACAGCAGAACCAGCTCCAGTCCTAACATGATTAAGTTAAAGCTGTAGAAACCTGCAGTCCCTGTTTCTTATCCACCTGTTTACACTCTTCAGGTATCATGAATGGATGAAGTGTCCTGAGCTGCAGCATCTGACTGCCTCAGAGCCACTGACCCTGGAACAGGAGTACGACATGCAGGGGAGCTGGAGGGAAGATGATGACAGTAAGACTTCCTCTGCAGTAAATGTACACACAGAACATGCTCTTATTCATTCTCTAAAGCAGTTGTTCTAAATCTGAAGGCTTGCCAGACTTAGTCTTAGGTTTTTTTCATGTGAATAACTGGACACCTTTATTTCTCGGAAAGCTACCTAAATAAAACAGAAAGAGAAAAACAATCTTTGGTTGAACCGATCATACAGCAGTGGCTGGAAAGGTAAATATGAGAGAACTTCTTTTACTTTTGTTAACTTATTCTAAGTTAGAGTAACAAGTTTTTAACATTCAGAATTTTTACAATGCCTACATAAAGAAGCTAACACACTGTCCAAATAATAGAAACTTATTTAATACAACTTATGATAGGAAAAAGTGAAATATGATTCAGTGGCATTTGCTTTATGAGGTCAACATTGCTTTCAAGTTCTGTCCTTATGGCTTCCAAATCATTCCTTCCAAACGTTCATACCATCATCTATCAGATTTGTTAGGTTAAAGTGTTTATAACTAACCGGTAATCATTGGATATGATGTGAAAATAAGACGTCATTCTTTCTGAGGTCATGCACTAGTAAAATCACCTAAAGAAAAGCTGTTTAATTAGACTTTCTTATTTTTTGTCAGAGTGCACATTCATCATCTTGGATGCAGCTAGGGCAGATCCCAGTATAGAAGAGGAACAATGCATGGTGGGAGATGTCAACATGTTCCTGACGGACTAAACAGACCTCTCTTTGGCTGAGCTGGAGATCATGATAGCAGGTGATGCCCAGTGTGCTTATCTTAAAAGTGATTCAAAATCAAACGCTGAGCAAATATCTACAGTCAGCCTGTTCTGTGGTTTGTTCATCTCAATCATTTCCTGTGTATATCTCTTTATATGTGGATGCTATATTACCCTTGTTTTCTACAGAGCCCAGTCACAGAGGCACGGGCATAGGGAAGGAAATGACACACATGATGATGCACTACGGTGAGCATCTGATCCCATCTTTCAGAAGGTTTTGAGCAGGAAGACAGAAGCTTAAAGTCACTGTGAAGAAGTTGAAAATTTCCACACCTCTTGAATGAACCTGCCCATTGTGGTCATCATTAGTTGGAGAATCAACCTGTAGTGGAGCAGGAAAAATAATAAATGCAAAATTGCCATGAGAATGCAGACAGCAGTGGATGAAGCTGATGCAGGTGTATGGTTTGTTGTAAGATAACTTGCAGGATAAACAACTTTTAAACAGTATTTTTTGTCTGTTTGTCAGGAAAAGTAAACAACTCCTAACATTCAGTACTATCCTATGTTGACTAAAAGTAACAGAAAGGATACATCGCTCGGTTCTGATTCTTTAGATATAAACTACATTTGACAACATGCGATAAGCTGCATTGCTAGACTTGCCAAAGCAGCTGAAAACTGTAAATTCTTACATTTATCTCTGTACAGTATTTATTTGAAACCCCTTTTTTTCATACTAAATAATAGTAGTTTTAGATTTTATTTTTTAAAAAATTACAGTAAGAGTAAGCCACAGTTTTGTCTAAATGCCTAAAAAATGTCTTGTAACTTTTCTTTTTCCTGTTCCTTCTCCTCGGCACACAGTAAAGCTGCCTTTTAGTGGTGGCACACAGCATTACACCAATCTTAACAAGTGTGACCCATTACTGCCTGCTAGTCAAATGAATGGCAATTTAATGGTACAAATAGCCATGTAGTATGTACATGGTCACATTTTTTGTAAGCATGTGTAGGAAAGATTTGTACGTAAAAACGTTTTTGAGCGTGTGAATAAAATTTGTAAACAAATTATGTCACACAAAAAACACTTGAAAACAAGCGTGTTTGTGAACATTCGTGTACAGGCAAAAGAGTACTGAGGTTGAGTGTGAATCACACCTGAATCTGATTGGACAGTGACAGTCCAATCACAGAGCAGAGTCAAATTGTCCAATCAGGTGGTAGCTGTGTTCTTCAAGTTCGTTTCAGGTGGTGGTTCTGTATGTTCAGTTGTAGTGGAGATTCAAGATGGAGGATAGTGGGAGCTGACTCAGGTGGGTCACATTAGAAAATCACAGTAAACATTTCATGTGTTGCATTCTGTATGTAGGGAGCGCACAGGTGCTTCGCTCTTAACACAGCTGTCCAATTGTATGTTTTCTATCCCAAGTGGGATACTTTATCTAGCGTTAGCCAAATGCTAATGTAGGATGATAGCAAACCTCTGTTAGCAAGAACATTTTCAAGGGTAACGTTAGCCGTCCAGTAGTATTTTGCTTTGCTTGAGCCTGTCAATTGTGTGGAGCCAGTTCGTTTTATATTGAAAGAGAAGACTAATAAAAAGATATATATTTCTCAATATGAAATTTATTATGCATTAACGTATCAAAATTAACATGTGCACATGGAGCCTATCTGTTTAGGATAAACAAGAAAGACT